AGCTACCCGAAAGATGGGCACAAGTTATAGATAATAATGGTTATTATATTGTAGATTGGAGTTTTCGTTTAACAAAGAAATATAAAATACAAAAACTTGTCCAAAGTGTCGCAGGACTTATCTTCCAACCTAATACATATATTAGGTTGGCAAATAAGTCCTGCGACAAAAAATTCAAAGCGTTGAAAATTTGTATCAACAGTCTGAATAAGGTAGCAAGGGTGATAGAATTGTAGGAAATTCCTCGAGCAATTAATACATAAGTAAATAAGGGCACGCGTGTGGGCTTTCAGAGCATAACGGTCAATGAATTGGCAACACCCGATTCGTACCATCACCTTCTACTAAGCACGCCAAGGGAAAAACGCGGGTATAGCGACTCAAGTTATCAGCAGCCTATTCAATGCTGGCACTGCTCACCGATCAACGGTCAACAATCGGTTGTATCGCTTCACTGCAGGAGATACCAGCCTTTAGGCTAACGCAAGCATCGTCCCCTGATTTAATGGATGTTGAAGGAATTCATCCACTATGAGTTGCTAAACGCAGACTGGATGGACACAGCTATCGCTTGCCCCTATGATCCCCTTAATTTGGCCAACGGGGTTAGAGAAGGGCGATCAAACCGTAAATCAGGCCCCTACAGAGGGACAACTCACCTCGAAAATTCGCTTTGGACCCACGTCAAAAGTTCACCGATCCCGATTGGTTCCAGATTACTCTTCAGTCGTACTCCCCAAGTGTTGCCCCTCTTACCTACCATGCGCTCCGCCTTCTTGAGCATCCCGTTGTGGAAAAAAAATTCGTTACTTAATGTGATCCAAAAATGGTAGTCGATTACTTCTTTGAGTCACAGCTCCCTCACTCCTGAAGAGATGGCATCAGTGATTGGCTCAAAGGATAAAAGAAGGTTGTTGACTTCTTTAGTAAATACTTTTCCGAAAATTGATTGATATGAAAAAATTTAGAAATGATTCAAAAAAGGTCTCCATTTTGTCGCAGGACTTATTTGCCAACCTAATATTTTACTGCATGAACCAATGCACAGGTCTCAACGCTGGAATGGGCATTGTACCAAAGCGCTAGATATTTATTGTACGGTACTACAAATTTGTTATCAAGCGTTGTGCTATCATGTTGTACCTCCTTCAACGGCTCGGGAAACTTTTTTGAACGCTGGCCGCCCACCATACACGGCGAGGTGGGTTGACCAAATCGCAAGGCCTATGTGCCATGCAAGCTGTTGCAATACCATGAAGCCGAGATTCTGTTACTGATCAGGTATAAACACCAGTGCACAACATCATCCACTTCAGTAGCGTTTCTCAGCTTAGCAGCTAGCGTGAGTAAAATATGGCGATGAGGAAGTACTCAGTTGTTCTACAACCGTCGGACGTCACGTCGGATTGCAAGTAAATGTTATGAACAGGTCTGGCCTCAGATATTTCGATCGCTATAGCGTCTTGATAGTTTTGCACCATGGCTCGTGGATAGCCAGGAAACGGAGAAGATAGGATAATACTACTTGTTCATGGTGGGCCTTCGATGTTCGTTTCTTGTGCCCCACAGTCAGCATGACCGCGACATGTGTCTACTCGAAGTTTCAGTTCGTGTGTGTGAACGGGAGACGAGGGGGAGAATGATTCATCGCTCACTACCATCCTTTTTATACCCTCTCTCTAATAATCGGTCTACTATTTCCCTCACTTCTTCATTCTTCACTTCCTCACGTTACCACCCCTCTACACCTCCCCCTAGTGACCCCCACATGTACCAGGAGGATCCCCCATGGTGTGAGGAGGTTCAACCTTCTGTCACCTCCTCCTCACCCACTGTTCTTCTTACACCAACAGTATTTCAAACATTTTTATTATTTATATCAAACAAACATCACCCCTCACTGAGGGTCACTCTCATGGCCTCACGGCCCGGATAAGCACTTCGCGATCATCGCCGCACCGACCGACTGCGGCTTCTTGCTTGTCTTCTTGGTGATCGACTGTAGCTCCTCGAACGTCTTCTTGACGGGCGGCTGCGGCTTCTTGCTTCTCTTCGTGAAGATCGGCTGTAACTTCTTCTGCGGAGGTCCCGCTGTATGCCCTTCAGCGCCGCCCACAGCGCCCTGCCACGGCGCTGTGGACGACGCTGCTTCTTCTGCGCCGCCACTTGTGGTCCACATTACCGGCACCATCGCGGGTGCCGAGGGCGGCCCCGTCGCCGCCGCTCCATTGCTTCCGGTCGGGAATACGAAAATTGGGGGGCTCGCCTGCGTTCCTAAGCCCCCCCCCCCCCCCCCCCCCGACGAGAATAGGTAGTTGGGTTGGCGAAAACATAATTGAGGTGCATACTCCTTCTGCCCTCTTTTATGGGTCCCTGCAATCTATCATTGTTTTTGTTTACATTCTGCAACTCTATCCTCCTTATCGCACCAATGTTCCTACGCTTCCCATTCTCTCTATAATCCCTCATTCTAGCGGTTTCCTGCCGCTTACGTTTGGATCGCCGCCATCCCGGCTCTTCGGTACGTTCCTCCTTCCTCTTAGGGACCCTACTCTCCATCTCCTCAGCAAATCCTCGTCTGCCATTTCCCACGGAATCACCCTTTCCTTCGTTTGGTCAGCGTGGATTTTCTTCACTCCCATGCCGAAATGGACTTCGTACACACTTGACCCCAGGACTCTAACCACAATCCCGGGTATCCATCGGTCTCCAGACCCAGTGTAATTCCTTATGAATACCTCCTGTCCTACTACAGAAGTTCGCTCTTTTTTCCCTTGATCATAAGTTCTTTTCATTCGCTCTTGATACTTGTTGGCGGGCAATTTCCTTATTTCCATTCTAACTATTAGGTTGGAAGGAAAGTCCTGCAACAAAAAATTTGAAGCGTCAGCAATTTGTATCAACAGTGTGAACACGGCAGCAAGAGTGATAAACTTGTAGGACATTCCTCAGGTAATCACCACATGAGCAAATAAGGGCACGCGTATGGGCTTTAGCAGCATTACGATCAATGGATGGACAACACCCAGTTTGTACCATCACCTTCTACTAAGCACGCCAAGGGAAAAACGCGGGTGTAGCTGCTCAAATTGTCAGCAACCTATTCAATGCTGGCACTGTTCACCGATCAAAGGTCAACAATCGGTTGGGTCGCTCCACTGGAGGAGATACAAGCCTTCGAAATAACGCTAGTATCGTCCCCTAATTTAATGGAGGTTGAAGGGATCCATCCACTATGAGCTGCTAAACGCAGTCTAGATGGACACAGCTATCGGTTACCCCTATGAACCTCAAAATTTAGCCAACAGGGTTAGAGAAGGACGATCAAAGTCGTAAATCAGGCCCCCACAGAGGGACAGCACACGTCGAAATTTCGTAAACACGCTTCAAAACTTCTACGATTCCAATTGGTTCCAGGTTGTTCATCAGTCGTACTCACTAAGTATTGCCCCTTTCACCTTGAATGCGCTCCGCCTTCTTGAGCATACCGTTGTGGAAAAAAAGTCGCAACTTAATGTGATCTGAAAACTGCAGTCAATTACTTCTTTGAGTCACAGCTTCCTCGCTCCTGGATAAAAGGCATCAGTGATTCACTCAAAGGGTAACAGAAGGTCGTTGACCTTTCTGGTAAATATATTTCCGAAAATTGATTGGTCTGGAAATTTTCAGAAATGATTTGAAAAAGACCTTCGTTTTGTTGCAGGACTTTCCTTCCAACCTAATATATTCAGGAATTGTCGCCGCATGACCATTTCTGCCGGTGCTTTTCCCGTCGCCGCATGGGGTGTTGCCCTGTACTCAAAGAGCAAGTCCAATACTACATTTTCTAGTGTTTTAGTGGAACGCAACCCCTTATACAAGATATTTTCAAACGTCTGAACAAAACGCTCTGCTTCCCCATTCGAATTAGGGTGATGAGGCGGCGTAAATATTTGCTGTATCCCCCTTCTTTTCACAGTATTCCCGGAACTCTGGCGAAGTAAACGGAGGGCCGTTATCCGAAACCAAGTGTTCGGGTAGCCCATTCCTACTAAGTATCTCCTTCAGCTTTAGTATCGTTTTTTTAGCCGTAGTGGCCCCTATCTTAACCACTTCAGGCCACTTGGATTTCGCATCCACCACCACCAACCATTTGACTCCGCCACTCGTCTCACAGAATTCTATGTGCAGTCTCTGTCAGACCTTCTGTGATTCTTCCTACGGATGAAGGGGTATTCTGACCGGATCCTTGCCCATGACCGCACAAGTTCTACATCTCTNGCTATCTCCGCTTCTGTTACAGACAAATTTTCCATCGTTTCCATCGTTACCGACTCTTCCTGCACTTCATTGACCACCATCTCTGCGCAAGGCAGCTCTCTCGGGTCAGGCAACCTAGATAACCCGTCTGCGTTAGCAAATTCTGTTGTCTTCCTATACTCTAACTCGAAAGAGTATAGCATGAGCCTCAACGCCCATCTATGCAGACTTTTCGCTGCTATTACCGGTAGACCCTGTTTGGGGCCAAAGATCCTCACTAAGGGTTGGTGATCGGTTAACAGCGAAAACCGTCGGCCATAAAGGAACTGATTGAATTTTCCGACTCCATACACTATCCCTAATGCCTCCTTCTCCATTTGTGCATAATTGCGTTCCTGTTTTGTCAAGGAACGTGATGCATAAGCGACTACTTTCTCGGTCGCATCATCATATCTATGGTATAATACTGCTCCTATACCATACTCTGAGGCATCGGTAGCTAATACTACCGGAACATCAAGATTATAGTGCGCCAATGTGTCTGTTGCTGATCGCCAGTGTGTGTGTGTGAACAGGGGACGAGGGGGAGGAAGATTTATTGCTCACTACCATCTTTTTTATACTCTCCCTCTGATAATCAGCCTACTATTTCCCTCACTTCTTCATTCTTCACTTCCTCACGTTACCACGTCCCTCTACAGTTTCCATTGGTTAGTCTGATTGTAGTTCTAACGATTGTGCTCAATTTTTACATACAGTGCGTTTCAAAAGTATCTGCACACCCGAAATTTTGTTTTTTTGGGGATACCATTGCTTTCTGTAACCTGTGACCTTCACCATTCAATTCCATGTGTTCGATAACCTACGGACACTTGTTCTGAGGAAACATCGTAGTTGCTAACACAAATTTTTTATTAAAGAAAAATTTTTCCTTTGTTTCAGAAGTATGTGCACACTTAGCAAAGAACAAAAATATAACCGAGATCAGGAATCAGTATAGCCTCTCAAATTCCTGTCAGGGTTATCGACTACGAAGAGTCGTTGAAGAGTCGTTTGAGAATGGTTTCGTTACGGTATGTTCTTTGGTTACCTTTGAAATGAAACGTTTTGAGTGTGCACATACTTTTGAAACTTCAACTAGGCCGCTCTTTTTCATGCATGGCTAGATTCATTCGAGACCCTGGCAGCTATCGCTCACAACCTATTCCTGGCCGTCCACGTATTTTGACCGCTCAGGACAGCAGGAGAAAAGCCTGTTTTAAGGCGAATACTTCTTTGTCTGTAAGTCAGATCCGTGGTCAGATGGGTATGTCAGTCTCGCGTACGACCGTTTGGCGCTCTATCCGTTCTGACGGGTATATCACACGAGAGATGATGAAGAAGGCTACTCGACTCAATACTCGCCACAAGCTGACAAGGCTAGAGTTTGCTCGTAGAAACATGGCAACATCATGGAACAAGGTACGGTTGTTAGAGAATTTTCGGGATTTTCCTATTTCTAGAACAAACAACGTGTTGTACCCATTTTGTTCTTAGCTGATCTTCTCTGATGAAAAGAAGTTCGATCTTGACGGGCCGGATGGATTTCGTTATTACTGGAGGGACCTTCGTCGAGAGCCACTCGTGGTTTTGAGGAGGAATTTCGGAGGAGGCTATTTGATGGTCTGGGCGGACAAACTCCAGCCTTGTTAGCTTGTGGCGAGCACTGAGTCGAGTAGCCTTTTTCATCCTCTCTTGTGTGATATACTCATCGGAGCGGATAGAGCGCCAAACGGTCGTACGCGAGACTGATAAACCCATCTGAGCTCGGATCTGACTCACAGCAAAGAAGTATTCGCCACAAGCATGCTATTCTCCTGTTGTTCTGAGCAGTCAAAATACGTGGACGGCTAGGAATAGGTTGTGAGCGATAGCTGCCAGAGTCTTGAATGAATCTAGCAACGCATGAAAAAGAGCGGCCCAGTTGCCGCTCCAAAAGTATGTGCACACTCAAAAGTTTTCATTTTGAAGGTAACTAAAAAACTTATCGTAACGAAACCATTCTCAAACGATTCCTCGTTGTCGATAAACTCAATAGAAATATAGGGGGCCCTGTTGATTTCTGATCTCGGTTATATTATTGTTTTTTGCTAAGTGTGCACATACTTTTGAAACAAAGAAAAAGTTTTTCTTCAACAAAAAATTATGTTGGCAGCTACGATGTTTTCTCAGAGAAAGTATTCGTAGGTTATCGCGCACAAGGAATTGAATGTTGAAGGTCACAGGTTACAGAAAGCAATGGTATTTCCAAAAAAACAAAATGTTGGTAGTGCACATACTTTTGAAACGCACTGTAGCTGACGACCAAAAATCGTTGAAAAAGCTTGCCGGCAAAGTGAAGGGGATCAAATCCTATCCTCACAGCTATCATGCGAGAAAGATATTTCTCTACGGCGTTCTGATGGGTTCTTTAACATATTAGGGTGCCAGCCAAGCTCTCCACATGAAAGTAAAATACGATAGGATGGCGGATCACATTCGGCGGCGTAAACTCGTACATTCCGCAGGATCCCTGAACGCAGGTGCACGACGAGATTGTTCTGGGCCGGAGCATTTCCTTGCTCTCCAACACACACGACGGAAACTTCGTCGGCTTTTGGCTCATTGTAAAGACGCGGATCTGAACTCTAACTTTGGAATATCATCTTGACCGGCATTGCCGTTCTTCACTCCTTTGCGACTCGAGCCTCCTCTTGAAGAGTAACGTCAGCATTTTGTATGCGTGTGCAAAGGCATTAATTCCATGCAAGACCGGATCAGAGCGGAGCAGGGTTACGATTTATGTTTGATGGGTTTCCCGCCCTTTTGCAGCCGCCATTGATGTGTCAAGAATGTACGCTTGATCGCACCGGGCGGCTGACATTCCCTCTAGACGTACAGGCATGACCAAATCTGTGGTAAATCTGACCGGATATACGAAAGCAATAGGGCTCTTGCCGTGAGGTATCCAGCTGAACCCCAATAGACGCAAATGCAAAGGTGCTGTTGGGCTTGCGGATGTGTTCACAAGATTCCTTCGCATCGGCATCTTGACTTA